TGTACGTTCATACACAATTGTATAACTATGTAAATAATCATGACTTTCATCTGAAACCTAAAAAAAATAAATTGCACATTCACAACTAACACTTCTACGAATCTCCGTCCGACAAATGTCCTTACCACAAACTACTCTCCAACAAAATACATATCAAAACATTATTCAACCTAAAACACACTTGAGAACAGCCTGATCACAATAACAATAACGAAATACCTATGACGTAATTCTTTTCTCCTTCATAAAACTATCGTAAATATACCCGAAACAAAACTCACTCACAACCACTATACCCTTTGACCCAAGAACAAAGCCTGCATCTTACTACAGACTTTTTTCTCCAACGCAGGCCCAAACATAGCAAAATATCCCTCAAACTATAATAAAATCCGACCGTCTACACAACGACTAAAATAAATTCTCTATCTACTGAACTTATTCCTAATTTCATAACTTTTATTTTATTTACCATCTCTATCTAATAAATACAAGAAATTATAGAAATTTACCAGGACTTACCAAAGTTTCCTCGAAATTACCGAAATTTCTAAAAGTTCTGTTGTTTTCCAAGATAGGGGTGCCTATTCTAATGGATATGTCTATCTAATAACTAAAAGAAATTTCAGTAATTTCCCAGTAATTACCAAACTTTCCTCGAAACTGCCGAAATTTCCATAAATTCTCTTACTGCCGGAGATAGAGGTCCCAATTCTAATGCATATCTCTGTCTAATAAATAAAAGAAATTTCAGTAATTTCTCACTAATTACCAAAATTTCCTCGAAATTACCGAAATTTCTATAAATTCTCCTATTGTCGGAGATAGGAGTCCCAATTCTAATGGATATCTCTGTCTGATAAATGATAAAAATTTCAGAAATTTCGCACCAGTTACCAAAATTTCCTCGAAATTACCGAAATTTCTATAAATTCTCGTATTGTCGGAGATAGGAGTCCCAATTCTAATGGATGGCTCTGTCTAATAAATGACAGAAATTTCAGAAATTTGCCAGTAATTACCAAAATTTCCTCGAGATTACCGAAATTTCTATAAATTCTCGTATTGTCGGAGATAGGGGTCCCAATTCTAATGGATATCTCTTTCTAATAAATAGAAGAAATTTCGGTAATTTCTCAGTAATTACCAAAACTACGTGGAAAAATTTCTGAAATTTCTTAAAATTAGTAAGTTCTAGTAGTAAGTGCTTATTAATTAGTTTTGAAAATGTTTGAAATTTCGGAAATTACTGAGAGATTTTTTTTTTCGTTAGTGGGTAATTACCGAAAGGTCTAGGAAATTTGGTTTATAGGTATTATTGAATCTAGGTAATTTCTTGTAATTTTCTGTATTTGGTTTATGGATGAATCTGTATTGTATGTTGGAATATAAGGTAATTTCGGTATTTTCTCATTTTATTGTTTTTGCAGGGTCGAAATTTCTGAAATTGCTTTATTTATGAGGGAAATTTCCTTTTTTGGAAATTTGAACACTGCTGGCTCCTGAACCTAAAAACTCGCTAATCTTTACCTTTTGTTGTGTACTTATAGGTGTAAAAGAACTAAATGTACGTGATATATATCGTTCACATATTCTAACCGTACTGTCGTCATCTAGTCGCTGGCAAATAAAGTCACCAGAAACACTTTTATCATATTTATTATTTGTCTATGATTACATTGATCCTCATTCTGAACAATATAAATTTGATATAAATGAATTTAAATCAGAAATACAACTTACAGTGCGATCTTCTGACAATACAATAAAATTTCTGAATCCAAAAGAAAACGCTATATATTTAACATCTATTTATGGATGTGAATGTACATTAGAGTCAATTGCAGATAATTTACCAAATAATTTACAGTTTATATCTGATGATTATATGTATGAACATGAAAATTTTTTATCAAGCCAAGCTAAAAGATTTGTAAATTTCTTAAAAAGATTAAATATGAATGATTTTTTTAATATTGAATCAAAAAGTGATAGTAAGTCATGGATTGAACCGAATAAAAAAACCTCCAGGTTACTACTTATGAAACCTATCACGGTCTGTAGAAAGTGGTACCTAGAACCACCAAATCTGCATCATTCTCTGAACTTTGACGAGCTGGAGGGGCTGGTAAATATCACTCGACACAAAAAGTTCTGATAAGCTTTCGGATCTTATGATTAAAGAAACTCTCACTTTCTTTTCTTTCTTTAGTTTATAATACAATGGATAGATTTCGTACGACTCGTACAAACCCATGGTTACATTTACATGATGACCCATAGTTCTATTCAGAAATTCACAGCCTTATGTTATCATTCACAGAACCAATTGAACGCTTAGCCTGTCTCCTCCAGACCACTAAAAGTTTAGGCGCACGTGAAACGATATGTTAAAAAATTGTTTCTTATTAGTGCTAAGTATTTAATACCGATACATTATTGTGAAATCAATTGAATGGCTGGTCACAATCCTATCCAATCTAGTCTAATTCTATATAACAGTTTACACTAGTACAGAAAACGAAAAACAACAAAAAATATGTTAAATAACACAAAAATATGTAAAGGTGTGTTTAGTCTATTCACTCGTTCCATTTTCTTTTAAGGTTTTCTTTTAGGCTAATGAACGCTTTGGAAGTGATAGTGTCTTTTTTGTCTATTGAAACCGCTACCGCAGCAGTTCCTTTGTACACTGCTGCCTTCTTTCCCAGTAAGCGTCGAGTTGGAACATACACCACTGTAATATGACGTCGATTGCATTCTGTCAAAACGGGTGCTAACACATTCGTTGAATCTGATGCCAACACTACATATAATGAAACAACAGTTTCTTAACAATTTTTATTTATTAGACTTTTAAGACATACCGACGAGTTGGATGTTGTCTCTCTTCACAGCCTTAATGGTACTGTTGATTCCTGTCCATAAACGTCTAGCAAGCAGTGCTTGCGCCACAATGAACAAAACCTGGTCTGTGAAATTAGTATCGACCTCAAACAACAAATGTTTGACAATTAAATGACACAAACTTTACATAAATTTCGGCCGTTTACTTCTACTTTAGGGCCTGATTCGTCCATAATAAACTTATCATCGGACTGGCTTTTCCTGAGAAAATTTCAGTTATTTTCAAGCAGTTTCTAAGAAAAGCTCGCCAATACAATTCCTAGCTGGACCAAGTATAAACTTCTCACAGGTCGAATATGCTCTAAACCATTCACACGTAGGTGGCATCTAGCACAATATTGTAGGCTTCCACAGAGGGTTTTCGTACGGTGGGGAACAAAACCGATCCACAAGTAGGCTGAACTTGTTTGTTTGGATTATATCTTACAGACTAGATTAACGAGAGTTCTGCTTTTTTACCATATTGTAGCTGGCAGTCTTTGTATACGTCTAGGCTACGATATTGTTAAAACAGTTAAAGTCTAGTTCATTTAGTTTGTGATGCAGAAGCAATTAACAGTACTTAACGGTTGTAAAACCGTTATAAGAACCGTCGAAGTAGAACTGTGACAGCAAAGCCGCCCACTTTCAAAAAGAAGAAGAAAAGAACAGCTCCTCCAAGAATCTAATATGGGATGTCTGGCAAGTAGAAATTATAAGACCGAGACAAACCACTGAACTGAGGAAGTTGCAGTTCAGAAAAAAAGTCAACACCTGACAAAAAACTATGCTGTTGAATTTGAAACCTCCTTTCTATCGTAGATACATGTGAGCTATAAAAACGAAATACTAACTGATTTTTTTGTACTTTTTTTTCTTTTTTTAACTTTTGATTTTTATGTACTTTTTCTAATAGCTTATCAGTTGTTGTTTGCCTTTATTGCTCTTCTTATTGTCACTTTTAATAATGAATTTTTTAATATTAGCTGGGAGATGTCTCATTTTAATCAGAAATTTGCGGGCTACAATCGTGCTTCATTGAAAAGGAGGTTTTGGTTATTCTTTAGAGTTTCTGAAAAACTGGTTTTCCAGCAAACCGGATCTGCAGAAGTCATGAGCACGCAACTTTTAGGGTATTTACTACCTCACTGAGGTCTATCGATCCATGTACAAATCGCTGGAATCGGAAGCGGACATCTCGAAAGGTTCCCTCGTAACTGTCACTTCAAGTGAGAGACACTTCGAAGTGTGTGCAGCAAAATTGGAGGTTATTTCCCCCTTGGTAAAAATGCTTTGTTAAGTGTCTTACTTACCAGGCGAAAAAATGGAAAACAGAGTTTTACGTTCGCTGTGTAGATCGAGATTTTCCAACTTTTGACATCCGCTGTTTTACAAGAACTTGCCTGACTGTAACAGCGTTGACCCACAAGAAAGAATGTCAAAAGTTGTACAAGTGGTGGAATTTTCCAGTCTCTAAAACATACCTAAGTAGGACAAAATTACAATATACCGCGAAATGTAGAGCGAGATATTTTGTGGATCGAGAATACTCTAAAAGTTTTTTCGGTTCTTTTAGTCAAAAACCAAGTTATAACACCAATTTTGACTCCTTATATTCTGCTGAACCTATCTATCCATAAATTTACGTAGTTCTGATGTCGAGTTTCTCCAAAGTGGCTGGCCACCTGTAGGCTACAAGCTTTTCGTTATATTTTTGAGTAAAGCGAAAAAGAGAGAAAACTTAAAATTGTAGCACAAAACTAACTGTGAAAATAATTTTGTTTTTCATTAGGGTTTGAATTTTTTAGGAACAGTGTAAATTGTTCCGTTTAACCTGTTTGAAATATAAAAAAAAAAGATAATAAGACGAGAATTTCCAAAAATTGAAAGAATTATCTCAGTTTTTAGCCACTGAAAAAGACATAGAGTGAGCGTAACAGCCTAAGATATCATGGAAAAGAAGTGCAATGTTGCAAGAAGGTAATTACATGCAAAGAAAACACGTTCTCACTAGCACTTTATCGTCAAACACTGTGAAAGGACAGTTTTTCAGATGAAAATTAGAGTTTTAACGATCTAACGTTTGTTCAAGTTAGACTAAGTTAAATATCGTATGGATCGATAGATCTCTTCGAGACCTATCGAATGGTGTATGATATATTCGCTTTTAAAGCAACGTCTAGATCATTATGGCCTAAAACCTAGAGAACGGAACCTGCCGAAGTTTGTTGAGGTTTATCTCAGCCGCTACACATGTGCTAGTCGGGAAATTTGGGTTTTAGACTCAAAAAACAACCGAGAACAAGATGTACTAATGAAATTTTGTTTAAAGTCATTTTCATTCTTTTTCACCAATTATACAATAAAGTTGCAAATGACTCATATACATAATTCTTGCGTTCTGTACGAAACAAAAAATGATATTATCAAAGAACAAAAATAACGTAAATTGCACAATCGACGTGAAAAACGAGGTGAAATTGACAACGCTTTATTTACTGCCTTTTCCCGTTGACTCACATTGTTTAGAATTTTTTGTTAAAAGAACTTTGAACATCACTATCATCATCATCACTCCAAAATATTTCACAAGGAAACATCCACAGGATTTTGTTGCAAGTATTCTGTTCTGTTATTGTTGTTGTTGTTTTTTAAACTCGGGGCACAGTATTAAAAACGAGCGAACTACATTTAGCATAGCATGGAAAAGACACATTCGCCGAGATTTTGATTTTCTAAAAAATGAATTCGTATTCGCTAGGAATTCATTTCGGTACGCAATGCATGATAATAATGCGTATTGATGTATTTGATCTGTTTGCGAATTCTCTACTACTTTCTGACTAGTTCAGGTCACCATATAGCTTTCTTATGATTTTTATTTCTATGTACTCAAACAGTCAGATACTAATAGTCCCTCAATCTTTTATTTCTGTATTTCTGATGTGTTTTCTATGCCAACTATTTCTGAAGAGTTTATCCAATGAATTCATACCTTTCTAAGCATATACTTGGAGGTGTGTCGGGGGGAGGTGGACAGATGCCATGAGAGGAAGTCACGATCGTTACCTGACCTATATCGTGACCTGAACTAGTGCGAAAATAAGAGAGAATTTGCATGCGATCGTTATCTGACCTGGTGAGAGAAAGATACACATTTTAAGTCTATAACCAGCATGGAGACATGTTGCATACCGAAACAGTAAAGAATAATTCAGTTCGCTGCGCATGCGAATTTTCCATCATTTCAGATTTCGAGCCGTCCTTAAAAGGTTTTTCAACACGCTACCTTGGTTCACAGAGGACTACACGACGATCATGTCTAGTTAATATAAGTGTTTGTAACATAACTAAACATCAGCAGTTCCTCTTTTTCGTTCGTTTATTTCGTCTTAATTAGATGTGATTATTTGAGTTCAATGGCTATAACTGATTATATGTATCCATTTTATTATTTCTAGAAAACTTATCATTCTATACAATCCTCTTCTGTTGATCAATGTCTGCTACTGAAACAACAGAAACTGCTCACATCAGTAAAAATAAGTTCTTTCTGGACTATGCTAAACAAGCTTCAGTCGGAATCTTGATGGGTGCTGTGCGGGTTATAGCTTCACAACAAAAACTAAGTCCAAATAATGCAATAGCTGAGTTTTTTAAACCAGAAAATAAAGAAAATGCCTTACAACTAATGTTTCAATTATTATTCAAATACATACAAGATTGTTGTGA